AGTACATGCTTGTCGTGTAGCAGCGATTTGAAGCGGCGCAGAGCAAGCCATACTGCTTGCAACTTGAGGCAGTTGATATGCCACTGTTGTCGGGGCCCTCCGACCAGAGCCCCGCAGCTGCATTCCCATTGCACATGGCACCCCAGCCCCTGGCAGAGGCATCTGTTGATTCAACAACATGCCTGGATACTTGCCCTAGGGACACCCCTGTCCGAAGAAAGGCAAGATCTGACCACGGGTTGAAGGTCTGATGGCAGGATGGGGTGACTGAGACCCGGTACAGGTCGCGTTGCCATGCCTATCTCGGGACCCGGTCATGAAGCCAACGCTGAAGCGGTCTCATATGAAGCAACCCGAGCGGCGTGACAGCTGCTGCGGATGCCATATGCCCCAGGAGCCTCTGAAACTGTTTCAGTGGAACCGCCCTCTTGCGCTGGAAAGACCCCAGGCAGTTCAGCATCGACTGCGCACGCTCTACTGAGAGACGTGCTGAGAGGTTGACCGAGTCCAGCTCCATGCTGAGAAAAGAGATCCTCTGCACCGGGGAGAGTTTGCTCTTTTCCCAGTTGACCTGAAGCCCCAACCGGCTAAGGTGACTGAGCACCGTGTCCCTGTGTTCATACAACTGCGCTTGAGACTGGGCCAGTATGAGCCAGTCATCGAGGTAGTTGAGAATGCGAATGCCAGCTTCCCTTAATGGAACAAGGGCTGCCTCCACGACCTTGGTGAAGACACGAGGCGACAGAGATAGCCCGAAGGGGAGTACCTTGTACTGATATGCTCCCCCTTCGGACGCAAAGCGGAGAAACTGTCTGTGTCGAGGGAGAATCGCTGAGGGGACTGACCACCGTGTTCCTGTGTTCGCACAGCTGCGCTTGAGATTGGGCCAGTATGAGCCAGTCGTCGAGGTAGTTGAGAACGCGAATGCCAGCTTCCCTCAATGGAACAAGGGCTGCCTCCACGACCTTGGTGAAGACACGAGGCGACAGGGATAGCCCGAAGGGGAGAACCTTGTACTGATATGTTCGCCCTTCGAACGCAAAGTGGAGAAACGGCCTGTGTCGAGGGAGAGTCGAGACATGAAAGTACGCATCCTTGAGGTCAATTGCTGCGAACCAATCGAAAGGACGGACACATTGAAAGATGCGTTTCTGCATCAACATCCGCGCAGGTCCAGGATTGGTCATAACCCACCGCCTTTCTTGGGTACGATGAAGTATGGGCTGTAAAACCCTGACCTCATCTCGGCTGGAGGGACTGGCTGTATCGCGACCTTCGCCAGCAGGACCGCGATCTCTGCACGCAAGACAGGAGCATCTCTGTCCAGCACAGAGGTGAACCGAATGCCCCTGAACTTGGGAGGGCGCCGGGCAAATTTAATCGCATAGCCGAGTCTGATGGTTCTCACGAGCCAGCGAGACGGCCTGGGGAGCGCTAGCCAGGCCCCCAGCGACCGAACAAGCAGGACTAGGGAAACCACCGACGTACTCACAGTGGGGCAGCGAAGTGGAACACAGGGACCCAACCCCAGAGGCAGTGCGTCCCAGAGTTGGGTCTGAGTGCGCGGTGCACCACTTACCTGGCTCCACGGCTGGGCAGTGGGCTCGTGAACAAAGGATTCTCCACTCGGCCCTCCTCCTGGGGAAGGAGTGGTGCGGTCACCACCTCCTGAAGAGCAGGATCCAAGGACTCCGGGTCGCCCGTCTCAGGGACGCCGCCTGCCCTGGCGCTTCACGGGCTTGGCAGAGGCGGAGGCGGAGGCGGGCTGCGCCACTTTCCTGCGGCCAGCTCCACGCTGCAGCCGTTGTGAAGGCTGCTGCTGTGGCCGAGGTGGAGCGGAGGTGGAGGCCGCAGGAGGGCGCCCTTGGCGACGAGCAGACAGAGGGGCTGCAGCCGACGGTGGGGTGGAGACAGCAGCAGACCGCCGGGGCAGGTCTCCGTCTGCTTCTTTGCGGCGGAGAACTGTTGGGCAAAGCCCTCCACCGCTTCGCCGAATAGGCCGGCCTGGGGGATCGGGGAGTCCAGGAAGCGATGCTTGTCGGCCTCCCTCATATCCGCCAAGGTCAGCCATAGGTGGCGCTCCTGGACCACCAGTGTGGACATCGCCTGACCCACGTCGCCCTAAGTGCGAGGTCCTGTAATCCGCCTGTGCTCCGCACGAGATGCTGGGCCCCGCCCTGTCCGAGGATCCAGCAAGCTCGTTCGGGAACACCAGGTGGTGCGATGTGCTGGAGGAATGAGAGGCCCGCGGAGACGCACAGAGAAGTAGCCCTCAGAGAACCGGAGGAGCTAGAACGGGGCATGGCAAGGGGGATACCCCCCCGTTTAATGAGGTGGTATCTGGACCGCAACATCGCGATGGTCATGTTCCCGCACTGAGAACCTGACTCATCCATGAGCGCTGCTTCAGCCTGCTGAAAGCCCAAGCACGAGATACAGCGATCATGACCGTCAGATGAAGCCAGGAAACGACCATATCCAGAAACGCACGAGCGGGAAGCCATCTTTAAAAAGATGCCCGTCGCTCGTGGAGCTCTTTTAGATATTGCTCTTTTAGGGTTTTTTTTTTTTTTTTTGGAAAACACTCTTTTAGAGAGAGTGCAGAAGCGCCCAGGGGAGGTCGCGGCGAGACCGCAGAATGGGAAGCTGCAACACGCCGACGAGAAGCAGCACTGGATGGCAACCCCCGCTGACGCGCCGTGACACCAACGCTAAGGCTGTCTCGTAGACACTCGCGGAGATTAAGTCTTGCTAGAAGGCTCGGCTCCGAAGCGAAAAGCTGATGTGCGTTTGCACGCACGCCAACTGTCATTGGCTTGTTTAGTTAACACTCGAAGGTGATTGGGCTCTCGGGCGAGATCCCAATTCGTCAGTCACGACTGATGTAACGTCGAACGTGACTGACTGAAAGGAACCACTGTTCTACATTAAATATTTAGCTAACAACAGTCTGTTACCTAGCAACAGTGTATGTTAAAGTTAGCTTAGTCAACGTAGGCTAACATCAACAGGTGTAGACAGAAAATATGATTATCCTGACCTGAGCTAATTTACTGAATCAACCAACTCACAAATCCTTTCTTTCTTTCTTTCTTTTCATCCATGATGACATTAAAGTCATCTGTTGCTGCTTCTGGTGTTTCATCGCTGACTGTGCCGCAACCAGAGTGTGCACGCGACTATGTTCCTGGACGCGGACGCGCGTGTCTGTGCCCTGCTCAGTTCTGCTCCTCCGTGGCAATGACGGCATGTGGTTAAAAAAATCATAACAAACGAATTTAAAAAGTGGGGGGGACACAAACGTGATTTTGAAAAGTGGGGGGGACATGTCCCCCCTGTCCCCAGTGGAAATTACGCCCCTGATTTCTAGACCACTAATCAAATTTCTGGCAATCAGCATGTGAGCTCTTTGAGCAAAAGGTCAGATTTCCTCGCTTGCACTGAGAAGCTTATGACTTCTGAAAGATCCTCAAATCATGCTGGAAAATATGATCATGAGATTTTTAAAGGGGTCATATGATGTTATTAAAAAGAACATTATTTTTGTGTTTTTGGTGTAATGAAATGTGTTTATGTGGTTTAAAGTTCAAAAAACACATTATTTTCCACATACTGTACATTATTGTTTCTCCTATATGCCCCGCCTTTCTGAAACGCGTCGATTTTTACAAAGTTCATCGGTCTGAAAAAGCGAGGTGTGCTCTGATTGGCCAGCTATCCAGTGCGTTGTGATTGGCCGAATACCTCAAGCGTGTGACTGAAATGTTACGCCCCTTACCATATTATGATGGAATATCTCTTTGGATTTGAGACTTCAGTCTTTGCAACTTTACAGATCTTCTTTATGCACCAAGAGCTTGTAACACTTCAAAGAGAAAGGAAAAATTGAAATCGCATCATATGACCCCTTAAAGCTTTAATTGGGGGAAAAGAAAATAAAGCCTCAACGTTAACCTTGTACCAGATAACTCGTCTTAGTCACATGACCTCATAGCCCACACATGCTCGTAATCTGTTTATGCAGCGCATGACCCGTCCTCCCCCGCTCTTCTGCCCTCCCATCCCATCTGCCTTTCAGCTGATGATACATGTGGTAGAATAGGCTTGGGGAGCATTGCTATAGCAACCGCAAACAGAAAGGCACTTCAGAGCAATCTCAAAGAGGAAATGTGACCTGGGCCATTACACATCTACAAGCCCTACAAGACAACCGGATCACTTCTAAAGGTAAGGAGATTGAGCAAATGAGGAAAGAATAAAGAGGAGATAGCAAAAGAGAATGGGGGAGGAGTGGGTGGATGGACAACAATATTGAGAAAAACACAAGACTAACAAATTCAGCACGTTTTGAGAAGTCAAACTTTGTATTTTGAGAATCACCGGCAGTGATTTAAACAGGTGGACATTGAGCATATTACTTTTAGTAATGTTTGTCAGTAGTGTTCAAGGCAAAATAGTCTCTTCTTGATGGATAAAATCATACATTTCCTTAATAACAATACTGCTTTGGTCAAATTTTAAGTAGTGAAATGGCTATTGTCTCTAAATGAATGTACCTAAAATATTGGACATATTCAGAAATTTTAAGTGTTGCACTTTAATTCTGATCTGGTCTTCCATTTGAGGCAGGTTTATGTATGGCATGTGTACAGCAAAAGCTTGACTTTCTTTGAATGGACAAACAATGAGACATTTCTCAAAATATCTTTTTTTTGTGTTCAAAAGAAAGTCAATCATACAGGTTTTGAAAAACATTTCATTTTTGGGTAAACTATCTATTTTAACTGCTCTTTATTCTGTATACTCATTATCACAGGACAGTGAACCCAAATGTGACATTCAAATTAGTAATTTAAGAAATTATGCTCTTTTCTTTTTCTTTTTTTTTAGCAAAAGTGGTTCTGGACTGGTGGACCATGACCCAAAAATGGTCTGATACAAAAATTTTTTAAATAAATTAGTAAATAAATAAATCTAATTTGTTAGTAAAACAATGGTTATTAAAGTACATTTTACAAGAAAATACATGTAAAGTCGTTCCACTGTAACAATATGTTACAGTGTTTCTTTGGAATTATTTGTGAAATTTACTAGAGACCGGTTTAGAGTAAAAATAATTGAAAACCTGAACCTGTGTGTGTGTGTAGTGGCATGGTTAAATGCAACTAATAAAATGCAACTAACTTGTCTGCAGGTAGAACAGAAACTAAATAGGCTTTTCAACTTTTAAAAGTGAGAAACACTTTTAGGTTGTCCGTCAGTATTTTGGCGTAAAATCACTTTGTGGAATCTAGCCAAATAGATACTATGGACAGGTTGTGTGACATGCCCTCATCCTTGAAAACCATAAACAAAATACGCAAAGTGAAAAAAATGACTCAGGCTATCTATATTATATTATATTATGCAGGCTCCCAAGAGCATGAAAATAATTAAAATTCAAGAGATACTTGTTCCAGTTTTCTTTATCATACTAACAATTTTGAATAGAGTTAGATCATAGATACATGGTAATATCAATGAATTTCAGTGTTTGAATTTAAGGATGTATGTTTACTTTTGTATGATAAGCAGTTATGGTTACCATGTTTGGTCAAAATATAGGTCAGCGTCCTTCACAAATTCACATCAGAACAGATTCCGTTTTGGAAATGAGCCGAGAGCTCAGTGCTGTGATGTCTGTCAGGTGTTAAAGAGCATCTGTGCTTTGAGGTTTAGGCTTGGTATCATTAATCCCCAACAACAATATGATGTTGCAAATGAGTAGGCTATAACCTTAAAGGGACACTCCCAAAATAGACAAAATTATTTTGTCGTTTACTCACCCCCATGTCATTCTAAACCATGACTTTATCTTTTTCGGAGCGTCTATTTACACTAAGTGCAAACAGCCCGCTTTGTTGGCAGAGGCTACTTACACTAGCTCCACCCACAAACGTGTGATAGGGATGGTCAACACTATAAAAGACGGCCAATAACCATCAGCTTCAATGGTGTAGATAGTAAAGCGCGTACCTTTAGTCTTGACACGATCGACCCGAGTTCACCTTTTACCGATTTTTTTTTCTCCCTTTTCAAATCTCAGATCACATCTGAAAGGCATTTATTTTCAATAAACATGAAGGAAATAATCAAAAAGTTGAAAATAAAGTATTGGGTAGGATTAGGGTAGGTGTAGGGAGGGCTTTATTGTCCCAATAAGGTGGCATCCATTTAATAATTTGAATTAAAATTATAATTTGCACTCAATACGTTATTACTGCATACTGTTTTATAGTAATAATGAGGTGCAGATAATTGCCACTATTTGTTAATAAGTAGTATAAATAGCAGAAAATCCTGCTATTTTAACTGTGTAAATAGAATCCATTGCTATTTGCACTTAATGAAAATAGCATCTATCACTAAGAAAATATGTTATTTTCACTTAGTGTAAATAGCCTCTATCGCTATTTACAATTAGTGCAAATAGCCACTGCCTTGGTTTTTTTTTTCTGTGAAACACAGTCTATAAGATATTTTAAAGAACACTTTTAAAAATAATTGGCATCTATATGGTACCACGAAGAACCTTCAACATCCATGGAACATTTTCATTGTACAGAAGGTTCTTTATAATCTTTAATCTATATAATCTTTAAACCTATAAAGGTTCATTAGATTAGGAAAATGTTCTTTACACTAAGTGGTTCTTTTAGGAAATGTTTGGTTCTTCTATGGCACTGCTGCAAGTGAATATATTCACCAAACCATTTCGGGTTCCATTGGATCCATAGTACTCAAATACCTTGGAAGTCAATAGGACCCAAAACTGTTGGCAGATGATCACAGAATTTTGTGCACAAGCACTTTATGCCAAATTTCAAGGTGAAATTAATAAGAAAAGGCATTCAATCTACAAAAACAAATCCCAAGATCCATCATCCATTGCACACCCAACATTTGTTTAAATTGCTTTTTGTTTTGCGCATCTATGATGGCTTTTACTGCATCTCTAACAGGTCAAATTCAAGGTGAGCAGCAGAGGGCCGGTGACAGCATCGAGCATGTCGTGGTTCAGCTGGAACGAGCCGTACTATCGGAGCCCAAGACGTGAGCCGTCTGAAGTGGTTACGGACACCCTGATGCTGGAGCTGAGCTGGCAGATGAAGGAGGTCGAGAGACAGCAGCGGGAGCGAGACGATGAGTATCGGAGGCTGAAGAGCGGCGTGGACTACAGCTGGCTCATGAGCACACCACACAGCTCATTTGACATCAGCCAAGGAGAGAGACTCGGCCTTGAGGACCTGTGTAGCAAAGTACCACCATCATACTGCGGATCTGTAATACAAAGGTAAGGCAGATGTGGTAAAGGAGACATTCGTTGGGTGCTCCTCATTGCACGTTTTGTTTTCAGCATGAGGATGTTCGTCACCACAGGTTCAGGAGAGGCCGATCTGGGTAATTAGTTTACTAAGCCGTCTTTGTGATGTCACTACTAAGAAACACACAAACACAGCCATGTTTTTTCTGTAGGTGAACTAAGCAGCTCTAACCTGCTGAAGTGATAATTGTAAATCGCACACATGCCTCACGGGATGCGCACCTGACAGATTCAGCCCAAACAGATGCTGTTCATTTTTGTTCAGGTAGCAACTGCAGAGCAACTGATTTGTTCAGCCCCCTCATGATAACCAACACCAGTTCACCCCAAATTTCCTATCATATACTCACCCTCATGTTGTTGCAAAACTATATATTTTTTTCTTCTGTGTAACATAAAACAAGATCATTTGATATTTTTTTCCCTTCCAATGGAATTCATTGGTAATGGTTTGGTTACCAACACACTTATATAAATACATTTGTTTTCTTCAGAAGAAAGATATGTATGTTTGTAATGACATGATGGTGAGTAAATAATCCCATAATTAAAATTTTTTGGGTGAACTATTATTACTTACTCATTATTTACTTATCTTCATGTCATTACAAACTGTATGCTGTTATTTTTTATCCTATGGAGAACACACACACACTCACACAAAATAAAGAAATTTCACACATATTTTTGCCCATTCAATAACAATTCTTAGGAATCATGGGCTGTCAAGCATTAAAAAGGAAAGAAAGATATTATGAAAGCACTGTATTCTGTGTTTTTTATTCCAAGTCTTCCAACAAAATACAGCATGTTTGCGTGAGGAACAGTCTGAAATATCTAGTCATTTCAGTCGGTTCCTCATCGGGTTAATTTAGTTAACTAAAACTAAAAAACGTTCATATATATACTAAAATAACTAAAACTAAAGAAAAAATAATACAACTATAGGCACATAAAACTACTTCTAAAAATGACAAAAACATACCAACATTGCTAAAATTTGAGCTAAAATTAAAATGAAAATATAAAAATAAAACCTGATTGAAAATATAAAACTATAACAGTATCTAAGTGATACGAAAATAGCACTGATTCCTCAGTAAAATTATTGTATGGCTTCAAACAACTTGGAATATACTGCACAAATTACATTAGCTACTTTTATGGTGCTTTTTTTGTACTTTGTGGTGTTTGTCTGCCTGTGGTCACTGAACTGAAGATTTTTGATGTGTGTGTTTCACAGAGAAAAAAAAATTGCACATGGCAGTGAATAAATACTGACAGAATTTTTGAGTGAAATTCTTACATCCTTGTCAGAGAGAATCTTTTTTTTTTGAAAGAAGAGAAGAAGGATGATCTAGTCCTTCCCACGGGGACTAGTTAAAAAAGTGAGAGTTTTAAGAGGATTGTATTGATTAAACAAAGAAGGAGAAGTAAGATTGAGACAACACTGATTTGTTGATTTAATTGGAAAGATAAGAACCTAGCTTGGTAACCTATTTTAAGACTCCCTAAGAACATCTTCGTCTGTGGAGCAAGAGCGCACGGGTCCTGAGAGGCTGCTTTTACTCTGATGAGTCAAGTGCTTATGTTTTGCTCTCATAGGGACCACAGGCCACAGTTCACCTGGGAAAGAGAGGCGGATGTTTTTGTGTTGTGTAAAATCTTTTTAAATGGGTTATTAAAACAGACACACGACCAAAAAAGCTGTCTGAAAATGGCTGTTGAATGCTGGTGTTATTAGTAATCATTAATTTTTCCTTGAGGTCCACTTAGCCTAAACATGACAGTTTTCCACTTTTTACAATAAATGATGCAGTGGTTAATATTTGACACTGTACGTATGTAAATAACCTCAGTTATGATTGGTTATTTTAATTGAGTAATAACATTTACTTAAAGGATTCTAACATTGGGAAGTTAATTGCAACTTTATCTAGTGTGACACTGTTTCTTGTCATTCTGACTTTATGTCTCACAATGTGCCTTAATATATTCCAGTTGTGACTTTATATTTCTCAGTGTGACTTTGTTTCTTGTAATTGCAACTTCATACCTCACACTTGAGAATTTATGATTCAATCTCACTATTTATATCTCTCAGTAACACTAAATATTGCAACTGTGACTCTATTTCTTGGAATTGCGACTTGCAGTTAGTATATCTTGCAGTTGCAACTTGATTTCCCTCAGTGTGACTTCAGCTCTTGCAAGGGTGACTTTATTTCTTGTAACTGTGGCTTAACATCTTACAATTGCAACTCTATTTTTCTCAATGTGACTTTAAATCTCACAGATGTAATTTCTTCTTTATATTTCACAATGTGCCTTTATAGCTTCCAATTGTGACTTTATATCTTTCAGTGCGACTTTAAAATCTCACAATTGTGACTTTGTTTCTTGTAATTGTGACTTTATCTTTCACTGTGACTTGAAATCTGGCAAGGGTGACTGTTTCTCGTAATTCCGTAATTCTATAGCGTACAGTGTGCCTTTATAGCTTCCAATTGTGACTTTATGTCTCTCAATGTGACTTTAAATCTCACAATTGTGATTGTTTCTTGCAATTATGACTTTGTATCTCACAATGTGCCTTTATATCTAACATTTGCGCCTTTATATTGTCAAGGTGTGATTTTTCTATCTCTAAATGTGAATTTAAAGTTTGCAGTTGTGACTTTGCGTCTTGTAAGTTTTAAATTCCAGTTGCGCAGATGGGGAACGTTGTAACAATGCGTTGTAAATAGTAAATAGTGTAAAGGACATCACTAATGTCATAGCACAGTTTAATAATAGCGGGCTATAAGATCATAGTGGTCATAAGATCATGTTACAACATGCCCCTCAGATTCTACAATGTACCCCACCTTTGTTTCCCATAACTGTGACTTTTTCATTTGTAATGGGAATTTATTTCTTGTTTTAAATACAATCACCCGAGTAGAAACAGTCTTCCATGTGATGCTTGTAGAGATGCAGGGCACATCATTTGGCACGTTTCTTCGTCATTTTGACCTATTACACTCACAAGAAAGCAGCTCATAAACAATAATATTATTTCAGCAGGTTACATTTTTAGAATGAGTCATTGTTGCAGCTTTGTTACAATAAATGCCTTGAATGGACGGGACGTTTTGCTTTCTGAAAGTTAGTAATAGGCCTAGTACAAGTAATGAATTAAACTTTGATTTAATCCGATACTCCTTTGACAAAAGTGTTATGCAAAACTCTCCACTCTCTCTCCTCTCTTCAAAGGTTTCGGCAGGTGCTGATGGAGAATGAGCCTGAGGTGCAGGAGGTTTCCGGACTCTTCCGCTCTGTGCTTGTGGAAACACTCGAGCGTGTTCATGAGGAGCAGGAGGCGCAGCGTCTGACCCACCAGTGGAACAACAGACGCTCCGTAAGCCTGTCGCTGATGGGCTTCAAGTCTCGCGTACGGATCAACCCTTTCGGCAGCACCTTGGGACTGAAATCAAACAGTTACGGCTCGGAGGAAGATGGAGTAGATGTCAAGACTGTGTGTGGGGATGTTGAGAAGGGTCTTGGTCAGACAACGGAGAAAGCGCAGCGTGTGTGGAGCATGCCGGAGTTTCGGCACAAGGGAATCAATGGGAATGCTTGAGTGTCTGGGAGTGGGATTCAGCAGGATCTGGTCCAGTCAATGACTGCCTGATATTCCCAGCATCACCTTCACTGTCAGTGTATTTATATTTCCAGAAATATGGAGGTAAGAGGTATGTTGATGTTGGGAAATAAAACTTAAGTCTTTGCAAAGCAAATAAATAAATTTGCTACAAGGACTAGGTCTACACTCCCAACTCGTCACATATTGACGCTTGGTCAGGACCCTTTGGCATCACTTTTTGACGCACAGGGTCCTCCATTGCTTTAAATAAGAAAACCTTGGCGTCAGTATGCCGACGCGAAAGGCACTGGGAATTTTATCATTGTGATTAAATTATATATTGGATAATAATATTGCCATTATTGCATATACAGTGGGCAAAATATTTATTTGATCCCCTGCTGATTTTGTAAGTTTGCCCACTTGCAAAGAAATGAAGGGTCTGTAATTTTTATGGTAGGTTTATTTTAACGTATAGAGACAGAATACCAACCAAAAAATCCAGAAAAAAAACATATTATATAAAGGTTAGAAATTGATTTGCATTTCAGTGAGTGGAATAAGTATTTGATCCCCAAGCAGAACATGACGTCGTACTTGGTGCAGAAACCCTTGTTGGCAAGCACAGAGGCAAGACGTTTTTTGTAGTTGGTCACCAGGTTTGCACACATCTCAGGAGGGATTTTGATCCACTCCTCTTTACAGATCCTCTCTAAATCCTTAAGGTTTCTTGGCTGTCATTTGACAACTCGAAGTTTCAGCTCCCTTCACAGATTTTCTACAGGATTGAGGTCTGGAGGCTGACTAGGCCACTCCATAACCTTAAATGTGACATATCATGAAAATCTGACTTTTCCAGGTTTTAAGTGCTATACTCAGGTCCCCGGTGCATCTACCAACCAAGGAAACGTGAAAAAGATTAACCCAGTAACTTTGTTTTGGTAAGCCTTTTTCTGCAAGCGTCTGAGAAAACGAGCGCGTCTGATTTCGCTCCATTGGTGACGTGGCAAAGGGATCTCATTACAATATTACCACCCCTTTATCTGTAAGAGTTTCCACCCACGGTGCCATCATTTTGATTTCGCAAGCAACAACGGTGTACTAGTTCTAATGCCATGGAGAAAGTTTGAGCAAAACATGCTAACTGTTCTGTCTTTGGCTGCACAGACGAGCACAGAACACTATTTAGAGTCCCAGCCTCAGAGGAGACAAGAGAGCAGTGGATTTATTGATTTATGTAGGCTACTGTATATTGCTGCTGCCACACAGATCTAAAATAAACATGCAATTTATTTCCCAGCTGTTTACCTTCACAGACATATATAACCGACTGTTTTTGTAACTCGTGTGTTTTAAACTTAGTACTCGCATGCTGTGACAGCAGCTTTCTGTCCATGTGCTTCGGATGTGTGCACTCAGAAAACCTTACATCTGAAGTTTAAACTCATATGGTTTAAAACGCATGATTTCAGCGTGATAAACATGATAATCAGAACCAAAACAGATGTTATGATACAAGCTGTAATGGCACAGCTCTATTCTGGAAAAGGTGGCGGGGAGCAGCAGCTCATTTGCATTTAAAGACACAGGCCCGTAGAACAGCGCGTTTCTGCTTCCACTTAAAATAGGCATTTTCAAAATGATATAATAAATGATCCGTGGAGTATTTTGAGCTGAAACTTCACAGACACATTCTGTGGACACCAGAGACTTATATTACATATTGTAAAAAGGGGCATAATAGGTCAATTTAATGTGCTTCTTCTTGAGCCACTCCTTTGTTGCCTTGGTGGTATGTTTTGGGTCATTGTCATGCTGGAAGACCCATCCATGACCCATCTTCAGTGTTCTGGCTGAGGGAAGGAGGTTCTCGTCCAAGATTTTACAGCACATGGCCCCGTCCATTTGCCCCTCAATGCGGTGAAGTCGTCCTGTACCCTTAGCAGAAAAACAGTGCCAAAGCATGTTTCCACTAGGGCTGGGTTTTGACACAAATTTCACGATTCGATTCGATTCTCATTCATAAGCTTGCGATTCGATATCGATTATTTTAGATAAATATCAGGTACAGTGCATACCAAATTTTCTCAAGGAAAAAAATCTCTCAATTAATGCTGTAAAATATACACGAGAGTTAGTTGGTACTACATTACAATAATATTGAAGGTTAAAATTGACTGATTTGTTAAAATTACACTAATTATAAAGTTACAATGACATAATAATATTTCTACTTCAATTCGTTGTTTATTTAAAATATAAACATAATGGTGGCTTTTTATATGGTCCTGACCAAGCATCAATATGTGACGAGTCGGGAGTGAGAACATGTTGGATCCACGCCTTTCATTTTTGACAATGTGCATATATGCAGAAAATTCCTAAAACAGGAAACCAGATATTTGCCTGATCACTCATCATCAGATTCAATTTGTATGACAAACTGTATTTGTCAAATATATGACAAATACAGTTGCCTAATTTAACCTGTGGACTTTGGGAAAATAGGGCTTTTAATGGCCCTTCTGTTTTACAATTGATATAAAATGTAATAATAATAATAAAATATTCCAGTGCAGGTCAACTTTTGTAATATTGCCCCATTTTTTTGCTTGTTGTCAATGTATGTGCAAGTGTGTAAGTGATGAGCTGTTTGCAAAACATTTAAAGTAACTTTATTGATTTCCTTTGTCAGTTGAGTTACAATCAAATGTATAAAATCAATAAACGTTTTAATTTCATTGAGCTAAAAAATAAAAAAATGATGAACGTTTGCTTCTAGAGTTTGTGATTCTGAGACAGTGACATGGTATCCTGCATTTTATAACAAATGCCTCATCTCTGTCCGATACCCATTTCTGATTATTGTAAAAGTCATTTTAGCTCTCATGTTCTTTCTAAAGAATAAAAGACCAACCTTTCCTTGCTCATAGGAATGTTCCTTATAAAACTGCATCTGCAGTTTTGTAGCTTTCGGTTAAGGTTTATTAGTTATGAGGCCATTCTAGTGTACTCCAAAAAGTTTTCACCATTTTTTCTCTTTCCACAAAAATATTGAATACACATAGGCATTTCCAAATTTTTGGATGTCATAGGGTTTTAAATTGCATTGTTACAGGAGCTGTCAAAGTATAGCCAAAGCGTTCACAAATATTTTCAAGAATTTATCCTCAGAACACGAATGTAGTTAAAAGATATAGCAAAAACTGTATGCTATTTTGCAGAGGTACTGAAATTGTATAGGGCTAGGCTGCAGATTAATATTTATTATTCATGAAGTAATAAACCCTGTGGAAAATAAGTATAGGCCTACCTTAAAAAAAAACTTCCCCAACTCTATAAAGGATTTTGTGTTTTCTGTTAGAAACCATGCCACTCTAACCAATTTCTAACAAATGTTTATGATGTATGTGGTATCAAAGCCTTTTTGAGCTACCCAGGCTCATTGGAAATGCGTGTCTCTATATAAATTTCTGCAAAACTGAAAAACAATGTACCTGTAGGCTATATGTACGAATCACTGCAGTTTCCAGTTGAAATGAACACTAGAGGCAGTAAGGCCCTGTCCACACAAACACGGTTATTTTTTAAACCACAGCTTTTTCTACGCGGTTAGGCCGTTCGTCCACACGCAAACGCAGCACCGGTTCACTGAAACCGAACATTTTTGAAAACGCCTGCCAGGGTGAAGATTTTCAAAAACTCCGGTTGCAGTGTTACGTGTAGACAGCGAAACCAGAGTTTTTGGCTTGTGACGTCGGAGCCTGCGCTGTTATCTCCGCCTACTGGAAACTTTTTCAGGCTTCTGATTGGCCAACATGGCTTTACGGTTGAGATTATATCACCACCTGTTGGTTTGGCATGCTCTTGACAGTGCTTCACAGCATGCGTTTTCATGTGGATGGAGATTTTTTTTTAAAACCGGAAGGAAAAACCTAAAATTCTGACCTCTTTTATTCCTTTTCACACAAAGTACGATTTACAGGTCCACAGTTTCAATCAATAAAGCCTAATTTTCACACAAGAATATTATGTTATGACTTCAAAACTATTTTAACATGCTGCGAGATTTGAAAACTGATACTTTTGACCATTAGCATCACATATCCAGCTTCATACATGGGTTTACATATTCGGTAGGTTTGTTCGGTATAGCTCACGCAGTATGGCGTCGCACTTGAGAGGTAAAGAGCTCAGGTACGAATCTCAATTCTCAAAGAAAAAAAAAAAAGGTTCAAACCTGCATAAAAAGAAGTTCAGATGGCACGATTGCATCAACAAATGCGTTTTTATATCAGTTTTGCATTTGTTAATACTATCGGGTATGTTTAGGGTTGGGTTTGGTGTACTGTAGAGGATAACACAACAGAGCATTAACATTTAGCGACACTCCCCGGATATTTTAATAATTGCACTACGCACCTGAAGCAACATGATAAAAACACAGCAACACATGCCTATATCAATGTAATAAAAACGTGCCAGGGTCACGTGTTGAACCCGTGTTTTAGCCCCACTTACTGGACACTTCACTTTCAAACGTTCAGTAAGGTACGTAAAAACGATGTTGCAGAAATGTATCTAGAGGCATGCATTTCCATGAGCCTGGGTTGTTTTTAAAACACTAAAAAAAATAAAGGACACAAACTGGAAATTTATTTAAAAGTATTGTTATCAGTACGGTCAGATGGACGTGTCTCACAAAGGCAGATCATAAGCTTTCAACTACAAGCTAGTGGTGCTTCTGCATTTGGCTCAACACAATAAATACACGGATTATCATGGGATAACAAGAAACACACCACTGGAACCAACATGACTACAATGTTGTTTCAAATTTGAATTGTTTTTTTTAGATATACAACCTTCATGTCCCCGGTGACAAACTGTACAAACTGTTTAACTGTTAATATGAACTTGAGGTTTGCATTAAAAAAAAAAAAATTCTGACAATTTCAGTAACATGTAACAATGTTACATCCAAGCTACAATTCTCATAGGATCAGACATAAAATAAGTATTTCAGGACACAGTCTGGAATAAAAAAAAAAAAAGAGGGCAACCATCCACATAGTTTATGGTAAGGAACTGTCAATGTATAACATCAGGCAAACCCATTATTAGTTGAAGATGGTCTTTCCCTGAGTGGCGGCCAGGTGAATGATGAACTGAATCAGAAAGTGGAGTTTAAGAACTCCAGCAGTTCTGCTCTGTTTTTGTCCCTCTGTAAAAAAAAAAAAAAAAAAAAAAAAGGTAAGTCAATAAAAGATCTGTGCAAAACCTGACTATAGTTAATCTGATTTAACACTATTTTCACCAGCAGCCATCATAAAAAAATAAATAAAAGCAGCAGAGGGAAATTCCATGCTTTTATTATAAAATCAAATGGTTAATTTGTTGTTTTTCTCCAGTGTATTTATGTGCAATCTGCACAATGAAAAACTCACCTGCTTGTCCTTCTTTGATTTTTTCACTTTCATTTTAATCTTTTTCCCTGAAATCATACTGTACTTGCCAGTTTTCTTCTTTTCCTTAAGATACTGGGGAAGACAGACATTCTGTTATATCACTAAACTTCGCAATAATAATGCATTTAATCGAAATAAAAATAAAAGCGACTACTATGAAGCCAGCTATGAAGTTTCGAGTTGAGTTGAAAAAAGTACCTTTGAAATTTGAACAGGTCCAGAGCTGTCTTCCTGCCCTTTGTGTCCCTTTTCCTTCTTCCGCTTACGCGTCTTCTCTTTTTTTCCTTTCTATAATAACAATAGTTAAAACAGATAAGTGCAAATGTATTCCAAACCAACAGTTAATGAATTTACATGTAACAGTTTTTTTTTGTTTTTTTTTAAAGGCACAATAAACAAGCTTCTTATTGGAATAGTTCAGTCAAAAATGAATATTTGTATTTTTGAGTTTGACGCCCTTGGTCACCTCAGTGTCAAGAGCTGCGTAAAAATGATTTAAAACTTCTTGATTTTGTGTTCTACATAAACAATGTCAACTGGAATTTTAAAAAGAGCCAGGTACCTTTTTGCCATGTGTATCTTTCCTTTTCTTCGAAGACTTTCTTTGTTTTTTGCAAGAATCTAGCAGTGAAAGCACAAAGCACATTGATCTGCTGCATCACTAATCTTTTTTATTTCAATTTCTTCTTTCCTGTTAATAAGGCACGTGATGTTTTACACCTGCAAAAATGGTCCTTTCAGACGATATACGTCATTTTTTTATTTGAAAATAAATGTAATAAATCATTTTTATTGAACTTACCTGAGCTACTGGAGCTGGAGTTACTATGTGATGAAGAACTGCTGGATGAAGACTGTGAAGAAGAGGATGATGAGGAGGAAGATGATGATGATCGGCTTCGGCTTCTTGCTCGTTTCCGGTTTTCTCTTCCTGTCAATACATACAGCATATGTGTGAGCAAAATCATCTCCGCATGTTTGGCCGATCAGGGTTAGTGATTCTGTTCTCCACATTTCCTTTCCTAACACAGAACCTCACCTCTGCTGTGAGAACTACTTCTGCTTTTTGTACTCGACTCACTTCTCTCCACGGTGTCCACTTTGGCAGACTGAAAAATAACAACTAAAACCTCAGCATCCAGAAATGTTCAAAACATGGACTGTGTTCTTTATGAGAATCGAAGGCAAGAAGAGCAGCTTCAGTGCAGTCAAGGTAAGTCATGACCTGTATGTGTAGTCATTCTATAGCCAACGACTCATTTACTTCACAAATACGTTACACTTTATCCCTATACAATTTTTTTGGAAACTAAAGTTTGTGAAGATTTACAGCTTGATCTGAAGGTTTGACGAGAGCGCTGATTTTAATGTAACGTTAAGCAGTTTACCATGTTTATATTAAATTGTCTTCGAAATGTGGTCCTTCCGACCACAACAGAAATCGGAAGAATCAGAGGAATAGCCCGATATGAATATAATCCGTGGTGGAAATAAACTGCGTGGAATATAAATGACTCTTTTTCATTTCTGTGATCAGTGCGTCTGAATCAATAAAGATAAACACCACTGCGCAGCCATCTTGTTTACGTCATACAACCTACATTATCCGGGTACTGTTTAACAGCGCAGGCGCGTGACCGACGCAACCAAAAAATAAATCAATAAAATCTCCTGATTCATGTGTGTACTGAATATTAAAGTTTCTCAGTATCATTATTCAGGTATACATTTGTTAAGTAGACAGCGTCACATGATAGCTGTTGCTTTTCTAAGCGCTGGTGAGACTGGGCCAATACAGCTATTGATCGGTACATTATTGATTTAACAAAAATAATTTGTATGCATTAATCTAGCGAATTGCCAATTTTATATGAGAAAAAAAATCCTTGACATCATAGTGATTAAGTTATTTAACTTGCATAACTTTTTAAATAATGAAAAATAAATGTGGTTTTGGCTTCATTTACATCTGAATTGACATCTTATTTACTGAAATACATTTGAATATGTATTTTCTTCAGGTGAAATACGTGCTGCGCATGTTGTTATGTATCTTTTTCTTTTGCCACAGGAGAGTGAGAAAATAAACTGTAATCTGTCTCGTCGCAGACAGCTTTTGTCTGTGCTTATCTAAAGTAACTATACCCATAGATTATATATAAAAATAAAAATAAACGTTTCATTGGTTGTAATGTAGCAAGCACAACATAATAAAAAAAGAGGGAATAATTCCTCTGTAATACATAATTTTTCCTACAGAGGGCGGCCACGACTAAATGTTACTAAATGTTGGACAGCTTCCCCAGCACGGTCACTGAAAGCATTGTTATTATTGCATTTTTTACATCTCTTTTGCCTGAAAATAAGTCGACGATATATTTGTTAGTTTTTCAGGACACAATAGTTTTACCTAATTTATCATTGGTTGTTACTGATCACAATGATAACTACTGTTGCAAGAAAGTTGAAGGATCTTTGGATGTGGACAATTTATGTGAATGGATTTTCCCGTATTGCATGGCGGGAAAGTGCTTTATCCTACAGAAAAGCCTTAAAAACTGCTAGATCTGATTACTTGTCATCTCTTTTTAGAAGAAAACAAACACAACCCAAGTATTTATTCAATACAGTTAAATTCGTTAATTAATTAATCATTATATGAACTACTTTACTTTCAAGATCAATACTATTAGAGATAAAATTGTAACCATGCAGCCATCAGCCACAGTATTGCATCAGATAGTGCACTATAGATCCCCTGAGGAACAATTCCACTCATTCTCTTCTATAGGAAAAGAAGAATTGTATAAACTTGTTAAATCATTCTAAACCAACAACATGTATATTAGACCCTATTCCATCTAAGCTACTAAAAGAGGTGCTCGGTTTAAAAGTCATAGATCCTCTTCTGAATATTATTAATTTGTCATATGTCCCCAAAACCTTCAAACTGGCTGTTATTAAGCCTCTCATTTAAAAACCACAACTTGATCCCAAAGAATTTATTAATTACAGACCAATCTCGAATCTCCCTTTTCTGTCAAAGATACTAGAAAAGGTAATATCATCACAACTATGTTCCTTCCTACTGAAAAATGGTATCTGTGAGGATTTCCAGTCAGGATTTAGACCGTATCATAGTACTGAGACTGCTCTCATCAGAGTTACAAATGACCTGCTCTTATCATCTGATCGTAGTTTTATCTCTCTATTAGTGTGACTGGATCTTAGCGCTGCACTTGACACTATCGACCACAGCATTCTTTTGAATAGACTAGAAAATTATGTTGACATTAGAGGAAGTGCATTGGCATGATTCAAATCATACTTATCTGACCGACATCGCAGTAAATGAAGAGGTATCATACAATCACAAGTGCAGTATGGAGTACCTCAAGGCTTAGTACTAGGACCGTTACTTTTCACGCTCTACATGTTACCCTTGGGAGATATCATCAGGAAACATGGTGTTAACTTTCACTGTGATTTATACTTGATACTGTGATACTGATGATACTTAACTCTATTTCTTCGTGGCCCGACGAAACATACTAATTTGCAAAACTAACGGAATGCATAGTTGATATAAAAAAACGGATGACTAGTAATTTCTTACTGTTAAATTCAGAAAAAAAACAGAGGTGTTAATTATAGGACCAAAAACCTCTGCATGTAGTAACCTACAGTACTGTCTAACACTTGATGGCTGCTCTGTCAATTCTTCATTATCAGTTAGGAACCTATGTGTGCTATTTGATAGCAATCGTTTAAGCCACGTTTCAAAACCAAATTTTTCCATCTCAAAAATATGTCTAAATTTACGACCTATGCTCTCAATGGCAAATGCAGAAATGTTAATTAATGCGTTCATGACCTCAATGTTAGATTATTGTAATGCTTTATCGGGTGGCTGCTCTGCACGATTAATAAACAAACTCCAGCTGGTTCAAAATGCAGAATCTAGAGTTCTTACTAGAACCAAGAAGTATGACCATATTAGCCCGGTTCTGTCAACACTGCATTGGCTCCCTGTTAAACATCGTATACATTTTAAAATCTTGCTTTAAGGTCTTTTGAATGGTGAACAGTTACTTTTACCATTTTATCATTTTTTGTTACCATCATTTTGTCTGTTTTTTGTCTCATGTAACAAAATAATTTTTAAAAGTACAAATAGGAAAGGGAAAAAAAAGGAGGAAAGGGCATGCTTAGTATGGTGTCCCATACTGAGAATTTGTGAATTTAACCCATCAGTGGGTTAAAGTGGCCATTTTTGCTGCGGCGCCCAGGGAGCAGTTGGGGGTTCTCACCTCAGTCGTGGTATTGAAGGTTTAAAAGAGCGCTGGTCATTCGCTCCACCCACCTATCATCCCTGCCGGTACCAAGACTCAAACCCGCACCCGCACCCGCACCCAAACCCGCACAAGTCTGACTCTCTAACCATTAGGCCATGACTACCCCCAAATAGTCCAGTTAATCTTTAAAATGTGCTTGCAAATGCTGCATAGCCTAAATACTATTTGTTATAGTTAGATACCATACCACAAGATGTCAACTAAAATGCCGTTGCACAAAAATGTAAAAACAAAAATGATTTAAAACCTGATTATACTCGCATCACAAATTAACATAACATCCTTCAGTACATTCTAACAAAAAATAATCCATATAGCTGGTTTTAAGAAATAAAAGTAAAAGTTTAATACATTCACAGACTTTTCAAATACAATTAATTGATGAGGTGAGGCATATGGGAACACATACATTTACAAAAGTTGAATCAGTAAGTCAAATTGCAGTAAGACTGTCTGCAAGGATTATATCCTTTTTATCATTAAAAACATGGCATTTAGTAGTCTTACAAAGTACAAGCTGAGACAATCTGATCACGTCTGGTTATTTTTACTATGAGCTGAACGTTCAAGCAATGTGGTAAATGAGCTTTTATTGTAAGGCTAATTGTATGAGATCAGTTTTACAATAATCCTGACAAAAAGATGAAGTTTCAAAGATGTAAATGTACAGTGGCCCCAAAATGCCACTATACTGACAAACAAATGATGAAAGAGTGTTTCCTCAGAATTAATTTCATTTCTTAGTCATTTATGTCATTACTTTTAATCAGTTGGTCCCTGGGCCCGTTAGTGGAAGTATGAAGTTCTTCAGTGCTTCTCAAGTTCACAAGTTCACTCAGGTGTCCTACAACAGCTGAAAATAATCACATAAACTATGACATGTTCCACTAATGTTATCCTAACAAACTGGAAAAGTGTGCTTAGTTATGATCTTTCTTTTAAATACATACCAATATTGCTTTTTTTAAATATTTTATATAACATTTTAAATGTGACTTTTTAGATACTTTTTGGGGCCACTGTATTTGCCTGAGTTCATAATAAAGTATTAGAAAATGTGTGAAAATATAAAAGTAAACAATACATTTGTTAGTTCTTTAGGATACAATAGCTTAAAATACTGCATATATCATTGCATAAAGGGCTGTTACTGATCACAATAATAAGCAACTTGTTGCAAGAAAGTTGAAGGATCTCTCTTTGGATGTCGACTAACAGGTATGACCGTAAAAAAAAAAAAAAAATTGGTCAAAATCTCTAGTGATAATAAAAGTTGGGTCAGTACAAAATAAAAAAAGCTTATTCAAGGTAAAATGAACTACTTTGATAACAGACACTTAAGCAACACGTCTTGCATTGGCTCAGATTTTTGGTACATTACAGTGAGCAACTATTCAGTTCTGTGCAGTTCAGCAGACGGCAACAAAAACTGACCTACAAGAGTTAGCTTAGTAACTTTTTGGTAATCATTTTTAACCTTCTTACATTGCATTTTACAATGGCAAATTTGAGAAGGTTTGAGATGCCACTTCTCAGTGTCATAATATAAGTTGCAGGTGTTTTTTTTTTTTTAATTTAGCTACATGTATTTAGAAAAAAAGCATCCATTACAAAAAGAAAAAAATAAATTGACATCTCTTAGTACTTATGGTGAGTTCACTGTTGAGGATTTTAGAGAACGGAGTTGATGCTGATGTTGTAAAGCCCCTGAGTTGCTCACTCTTAAAAATAAAGGTGCTTCAAAAGGTTCTTCAAGCGATGCCATAGAAGAACCATTTTGGTTCCATAAAGAACCATTCAGTCAAAGGTTCTTTAAAGAACCATCTCTTTCTTACCTTTTTATAATCTGAAGAACCTTCGTTTGCCACAAAGAACCTTTTGTGAAACAGAAAGGTTCTTCAGATGTTAAAGGTTCTTTATGGAACCATTTAGATAAAAAGGTTCTTCTATGGCATCGTGAAGCACATTTATTTTTAAGAGTGTTGGACTGGCTCTCTTGATTTGTGAAGTGAGCTGGTTTTGAGCAGAGCTTCAAGCCTCTGCTTTGTTCTTGGAAGATTCGCCGTGAGTCAAACGCTCTTCGTTTTCCTCTTCTTCCTCAGGTACCTGCATTTCAGAAGCATCCACAATTGTCAAACTTATCAGCTGTAAGACATTTTCCTAAGAATTAAAAACAGTTGTGACCATGTCCTTGCATTACAAAATAGCATTAACATATCAATCTTTTTGACGTACCTCCCAGAAGATTGAGTCATCGAAGCAGTTTTGATCAG